AATAGTAATTATAGACAAAAAAAGAAAAAAGGAAATAAAATCGAAAATAAGGAAAAAAGAGAAAAAAAGTGATAAAAAGAGAGAGAGAGGAGGGGGAGAGGAAGAGAGGAAGGAAGGGAAGAAAGGTGAGGAAGAGGGAGAGAGAGGGAGAAAGAAAGAGAAAGAGAAGAAGAGAAAGAGAAGAGAAAGAGAATAAGGGGAAGAGAAGAGAAAGAGGAGAAGAGAAAGAGAACAGAAAGAGAAGGGGAAGAGGAGAGAAAGAGAAGAGAAAAAGGGAAGAGAAGAAAGGGAAGGGAAGGCGAAGGGCAAGCCTTCAGGCTCCCCTCACACCAAGTGTGCTCTTCCAGATAACTCCCGGATGCGGAACAAGCCATAACTGCACGAGCTCAGAGAAATAAAAGGCATCAGGGAAAGCAGCTGGTAGGATTCTGGTTCATTTATTGAGTACATGACAGAGAAGACAGACAGTGTAAAATCACATGTATTATTTGTACTTTAAAAAAAATTACAATAAATTACTGAATAATTAGTAAAAGCAGTTTTACTAATGGCTGCTCTCCAGTGACACAGGACAGAGGAGGCAGAGAAATAAGAAATATGTACCAGCTGTGAATACATACAGAGAATGCCACAAGGAGGAATTAACACTGAGTAGCGCACCAAGTAGTGTTAAATGGGAAAATCCAACTGTACGTGTCCTTCCCATCCTCTGAATTCCAAACGCCAGCCAAAAGCTGCAGCAAACCTTACCTTCAGTGCAGGGTCTGCTCTCGATGAGCAGCAGCAGCTCGCACTCCAGCCCTGCGAGGCAGACACCTGCACACTGAGATGAATCTATCTGTAGGAACAGCACTAACTCTCCTTCCTCGGAGCACACGCCCTGCTACCAGAAGGCTAACTCTTAAGTTTAAAAGAGCAGTCACTCAGTCTCCCAGTTGTTTTGTCTCTAACTGGAAAGAGATCTAGTCTATTGTGGTTTCCCACAAAATGGGCTGATGGCAGAGGGCTGCACTGCTTTGAATTCTTCCTTTTTAGGTGTAAATGCCCTTCAACAGGTAGTATTTCTAAAAGTACGTCCGCTTCTAGACTCTGGGCACAGGAGATGTTCAGACAGGACACACTGAGCAGCTGCAGGTGGCACAGTGCTCCTGCACATCTGCCTGTCCCAAGCATTTGTGAGGGCCGACTGGTCAGAGTCTTCTTGGGGGTCCTCCTAAAAACCAGACCCATCACTAGCTAGTAAAAACAGAGAATCTGCAGGAAAGAATAAATGTTTTCTGTACCAACAGGGAAAGTCCGGCAGACCAGTGCCTGACTGCCCTGTGACGCTGAGCCTGATTCACCGACTTCTGATTTAGGAACTTTTTCCCTCATTATAACCATCATGAGCTCACTGATTGACTTAGCATTACTTCTGCACCGAAGTCAAGGAGCTTGTGGCTTCCCAGCCAGACTCAAAACAATGCCTCTCAAAGAATTAGAAAAGCAAATGCCAGAACTCTGGGTTTGTCTGAAAACTCCCGAATGGTGAAGGAGAAAGTAAGTGCTCACACACTACGAAAATGCCAAATCGCATCAGAAAGAAACTTGCAGATCTGAGAAATGTCTGTGCTGAGCTCTTAGGGTGCTGGGAGCAGTGAGGACACATTTGCATTACAGCTGCTGAGTCACAGAACAGCACTGAAGAAGTTATTCAGAGGGCAGGGTCCTACAGCTTGACTACACTGCATTAGCTCTCGGGTCAGCAGCCAGAGGTGAACGTGGTATCGAGCCAGGCTGCATCCACTATGCAAGTTACCCAGGAACCTACAGCAAACAAGGGCAGGCAAGGAGCAGTCACTGTCTGAAGTCAAACTTCATTAAAATAAAAGATAGCAGAAGGCAGACATGCATAACTGATGGTGGTAATTCTATATGTCAGGGGCTATTAGGTTCTAATGGCTCTTGAGGAGGTAAATCTAATTCTGTCAGCCAGAGTAGCCAAAGAAGCACCTACACAAAACAGTCACTGTCAGAAGCCCCTTACTGATTGGGATCTATTGTAATTGTGCAGTTACTGGTCTCTGATTAAACAAAAAAAAACCCCCAACCCTGAACACAAAATACCAAACCATCTTGCCATCTGCCACATTATCTCTGTTTTATCTCCCAAAGACAATTCCTGCTTTCTTGAGTTCACCCTGACACAGAGGAAAGTTCATAGTCGCTGGATGAACTGAACTGCCTCTCTACTTTCTTCTGATCTTTGACCTTTTGCAGAATGTTGACTTTTTTCTCGAAGTAGTTTACAAGGGCTGTTTCCGTCAGCATGGAAGCTAAGATCTGCTCGAACGAGATGGACCAGTCCGTGTCGATGGTACTTCCATACCTGGCAGCTGAACCAGTGCCTTCACAGCCAACCAGGACCGTGTCATCGGCAATGTCTTCACACTGCAGGGAGCCTGTGCTGACCATGGAGTAGGAAGACATGGACATATCATCTTTGGTTTCATCATCTGATAGCAGCTGTAAAGGAGAGCCTTGTCCTTCCCCTGACCCATCTCCTAGGGTTTGACTCTCCTGCTGTGTTTTCTCAGGCTGAGCATCTCCGCAGGTTTTGTCCTCATGGTCAGCTTGGGGCTGCTGCTCCACTGCTGAATTCTGACTCTGTTCGGATGTCGGTGATTCCTCTTCACTCACAGGATCTTGCGTATTGTTTGCTTTGGAGTCCTCGGACTTCCTCACGGGCCTGTTGGAGAATTTTTTTCCAACCTCCCCAATCCGCAGAAGGAGACTGGCTACAGTGGCAATTGCGTGGTACAGCTCCTGCTCCACCGGGTCCTCACTGAACATGTTGTAAAGGGTCTTGCATAACTCTATGAATTGTTCCTTTAAAAGACAAAGGCCAAAAAAATCATACTTCAGGCTGAAAAATGTCGACAGCAGCAGATCACAGAATCACAGAGTGTCTCAATTCGGAAGGGACCCATAAGGATCATCGAGTCCAACTCCCTGCTCCTTGCAGGATTACCTAACAAAAACCCCATGACTAAGAGCATCATCCAGATGCTCCTTGAGATGAAGGAACAGGAATCATCTTGACTGACTCCTTGTTCATCTACCTCCCCACCAAGGGACAATATATTGTACTAATTCACAACAGTCCAACACAGGCAAAATCCTCTCTGTGCCACAGCAGCTCAGTTGAGACCCAGCTAGCAATTTAATAATGGTTGGGTTTTGTGTTGACAGATGAAGAGGGTACTAATACAAATCTGAGAAAACATGAAGTTTTACTTCTGTCCTGCTACTCTTTTGTTGTAAGCTTCTAAGGATTTCCAAACTGGTGTAAGGAGCACCCAAAAAGGAAATTAGCGACAGAAAAGATCACATCAGTCACGAGACTCTCTTTCCTATAACCACATTCTTCACTTTCCACCAAGCAGCTGTAGCTCGAGGTAATGCCAAACAAGTTCCTATGAGTGATGGTGTATCTGAAACATACTGCTCTGGAGGGAAAACACAGATTGTGGTTCTTATAGGAAAAATTAACCTGGGACGCAGAGAGAATCAAGTAGATTTGACTTGTGGAAATAAAGCAGTTTGTCCACGTCCACTGAGGAATTCAACACAAACGTGTGGAATGAGAGAAGCTCACCAGACCGGAGCAGCAGTGCAATCTACAGGCAAGAGCTGAGTATGCTGGCAAAAGAGCTGCACAGACTGCTGAATTCTCCACCGAGCTGTCACGCATCTAACTGGAAACCTTCGCATTCACTTCTTACCTGGCTCATTTTGGGGAGATCTTTGATGGTTTCTTTCTTGGACTCTTTTTCCTTGGCCCACATTCTTAGGTAGTATCTATAGTCTTGTGGACTGGTACCTTTCTCCTCTGCAAGACAAGAACAAGTCCCTCCTGTCAGGTGGTTAATAGTTTCACACTTAAAAAGTGAATGCTGTGCCAGCAAAAATAATCACGCTGGAAGGAGGTTTTACTGACAGCTCAAGAAAGCATCTACCAAGCAGGCTGCATTGTTTTCTGCTGGTTTATCTGATCCAGCTCAGTAGGGCAAAAATTTTAACAGCGCTGCATCAGCTTGACTTCTCATAAAGGAAATTTATGAGTTGACAACTTCCCAAATATGATTTACAAATGTTATGATCTTGGTATGCAAAAGAGAGCAGTAAGGCCTAAGAGAGATTTATTTCCTAGCTCACATCCCACTTCTACCTCTGTCCACAAAGGACACTTTGAAAGGTTTCAGATACAGCAACAGACAATGAACAGTTCATAATACAAGAGAGACACGACTAGAATGAGGGCAATTTATGGGGAAATTACCTTTTTCTGGACCGTTCTCATTTCTCCTTCCTTTATCTTCCTGGGTTTCTAAAATATGATGGAATTACAAAAGAATGATTAATAGCTGATTTTCAGCAATACAACACATGAAGGCCATAAACCAACTCACAGACAAATTTAAACCATACAAGAATATATTTAACAGAAGCTAGATCTCACACTCCCATATCATGTTCGGAGGAGGGAACAGAACAGGACGGAAGCAAGAGACTGATGGGATGAACTGCATAAAAGGCCACACTGAAAAAGTGGGTTGAGGAGCTGAGGTGGAGGGCAGAACTCTTAGAAGCAAGCATGAAACATAGATAGGAGAGACAGCTAAGCAATGTGATGGCTTAAAGACAAGGAAGTTCCGTTATCCACAGCGAGATAATAAATGGAAAAAACCCCAACCACTAGTGAGCACATATGTGACTAATATCTACCCTCACCATTATTCACTGGCTGAACTGACACTTGGAGAGTCCAACTTCACACACATCACTTCTGGTTGCCTATGTTATCACTAGACTATACAGGAAGTCCTTGCTAAACTCACACTAGTCACCCAGCACCAAACAATACAACTACTCCTCAAGTTTGGGGTTTTTTGAACATTATGGCATTTTGGTAAACACTCAGCACAACTGACATACTTTGACCTCCTATTTGACAATCCCTAAAATTGTATGTTACAAAACTCAGTGAATTAGTCACTAGCAGTTTTGCAATTAAATGGCATGCATCCTTACTCCTTTAAATGAGAAGACTGTGAAGAAGGCACAGGTATCATCTACCCAGACCACAAGCCTAGTATCCCCCACACTCTGCTCTGAGCGTATTTTCCACCCACCAGTTTCTAGGGTCAGATAAAATTCCACTGAAAGACACTGGAAAAAGCCTATTTTGACCAAGATTGAAACCCAATAGGTAGAATACACTGAAAGATATCTAATTACTTATCACGCTTTATTCGTAGTGGGAGTGTCATGAGAGAGGAGCAGCAGCAACAACTTCAGAGCATTTAGAACAGCACAGTGGTGCTGGCAGATGCTGTCAGCGTTACAGCCATGCTCAACGCATGCACATAATCCAGGGACTGACCTTGAGACTCACAGTGCACGCAGAAATCCAGCTCTGAGACAAAAGGAGATACTTGAGCAGCAGAAAAAGGGGCTGAGGGGACAATATCCCAGATAAAACAGAAGAAAAGGCCAGACATAGACACAGAGAAGGAAACAAAAACAAGAAGAGAGACAATGAGACTTGCATGAAAAATCTCGATCATGGTGGGAGACAGGAGCTGGTAAAAGCACACTGCTCCTCCTCAGCAGGCTGTGCCTGTGCCTCGGAGCACGCTGTCCCCCACATGAAACAGGCACTGAGGAGTTTCAGCTCCAATCTTCCTTCCCATCATGCACCAAAGAGGGCAAACTCAAACACACCAGCAATCTTAACATACTGCCACCATGAGACCACACCTTGCACAAAATCACTCATAGCACATGGATTTATGCTGCAACTCCTGCCTAAACTGAGGAATAAAGGCAGCAGTATTGCATTACCTTCTGTTGTAACATCCTCTGTGAAGTAACTTGTGGCTTCCAAAGCAGACTCTGTCTCCTCTGGATTCAGAGCTGTATTTACAGAGGAAGAAACGTTAAGATCTCTAAGCTAATTGAACATCAGTATCACTCACTTCATTAGCAAAATTCGTGAGGCATCCCTCTTCAACTGCCTGTCAGACTAGACCATGCTCAACAGTAGCAGCAGACAGAAGCAATTGCTTACCAGGAGGCAGATGCAGCTTGTAGAGTACTTTGAGTTTTTCAGTGAGGTCACCATGGTACATCCCACCTGCGAAGTGAAAAAAAGGTCCAAAAAAAATAGCGCTCAGGATAAAGAATCACCCTCTGCTCACAGGCTCAAACCAGACTGAGCTCACAAGCAATGGGGAGACACTAACTGCACAAAGCCCTGTGCAGAAGCGCTGAGGAAATCCACAGCAAAGCTGCATCTTGTTGATTTGCCACCTGCCATCTCCCTAAGTGGGAGGCTGCTTAGCAGCAAAAACGCATCTTTTCTACTGCCTGAGGCTTCCTGCCAGGCTGTCACCCTCCCCTCATGACCGTGCAAACACCACCACCTCCTTTTAGTTCTCTGCCTGGAAAAGGCCAGAAACTTTTCTTGCAATATATCATCATCCCCAAAACCACCACTTACTCATCCCTGTCACAAACTCCTTGAAGTTAATGAGAGAATCCCTGTTCTCATCCAGAAGCCGGAACAACCGCCCTGCTAGCACAGGCGTGTGTGCGCCGCAGGACCAGGGGGTCAAACTGATGAACAGCTCTTTGAACTGCTCCATGTCTATGCGGTACTGCTCCAGGTAGGGTAAACTCTGATCTCGGCGGGCAGCTGCAGCACGATTACTTCCCCAGTAACAGCTCATTAGATACTTTGCCTTTGGAAGGAAAGGATTAACAGGTCAGATTATGCTACACTACAACCATCCACAGGAGCAGAGACTTTGTTATAGCTCAAGAATAGCATCAAGTAAGCAAAGAGGAGACGTTTCAGGATACGTTTTATCTCCCCCGTTATTCGTAGCGTTACTTCACTACAAAATAATATGGAATGAAGGGACAGGGATTTCATGAGAAACACAAAGAACAATTTTTAGTGAAAACTATCAAAAACATTATTTCAGGTTTGAACGAAATGACTCTGGCTTTACTGCAAAGTGAACTTGCTGGTTTTAAAACTAGACCTCTCTTTCTGAGTCTGTAGCACAGTGCAACTGAGTTTGCAGTGACTTTGGTAAACGTAGTTGGGTTATATCACTCTTTTAAAAATACATACATTGAAAAATAGAGGCAGAACACTTAAGTAACTTCTAAGCACTTAAGTAAGTAAATTCTAAATAACTTTGTCACAATTACACAGCATGTCAGGCATGTCAGTGGGAAACTCATAAAAATAAGAAAAAAAATCAGAAGATAAAAATTGAGGTAGTCAATCCTAGCTCCCTGTTCCAAGAGCTGTGTGACATTTCTTTGCACTGACTCCACAATTTCTTTCTAAATAAGTATAATTCAAATACCGTTATTGTGTTTTGGCCATCTTTGGCAGGGGGAAATAAAAATAATCACCTGGATAGTAATAAGGCCAGCCTTACTGGTGCCATGTATAACAGAATGCCACATCTGTTTCTGATAGCTTGGATTAAGAATTAAAGTAAAATCACTGCTTCTCTTTCAACTTATTTTGGTATTTGTTCTCTCTGTGTCAGAACACATTCCTTCTCACTCTGGCTTCTTACCTTGAACACCACATACAACTCTTCTAGTTCTTCAATAGAGAAACCAATGTCACTAGACACAGCTCGGACCTATAGTAGGAAGAAAACAGAGCGAACAATTTATTTCAAAGCTAGAAAAGTTTAATATTAATCTGTGTAACACAGAAGAGAACAAGTGCAAGAAGACATGATGCAGGACACGAGAGAAAACATAACCATTTAGCACCTCCCATTGCCAAGGATTACAGGTCAGGAAGAGAGTTTCTGATCAAACAGAAGTGCTGGTATTTTGAGCAGCTATAAAAAAAAATACTGTGCTTGTTTCCTGTTTGTGGAGAGTAGATCATGCAGGCTGTGCTGCCCCTCCCTCGTGCTTTTATCTTCAGATGTTTGACTCAGATGCACTGAAAAACAACAGTGCAAGAAACTCCACCTAGGGCACGTGTGGTAATTGCCAGATAGATGGATACTCCCCTTTGGCCATGAATCCTCCCGTAAAATTCTCTAATGTGCTTGCATATTCTCTAAATGACAGGAAAATAATTATCTGCTAGCCAGCTTTTCTCAAAGATTCCAGGCAAGCAGTAAACCAGGCAGCACTAAGCAGTGGAGACTATTAGGAGACTTACATATGGTTTTTGTCTCTCTTCATGCCAAATATCTCATTCAAGCCCTGGCACTTTAATCCACTTTATTAAATTAACTAGAACCATGTCAAGAAGAAAACTGAAAATCCATTATTCTGGCCAGTAAATAATTTTTTTCCCATGACCCACAAGTCTAAGTCACTTAAAACAGGGTGTGCTACAGTGCAAATTTCCTAGATGCTCACAGCAAAACACATTCCATTAATATGCCAATTGGTAGCTTATTCCATCTGGGAGTCACATACCACACTCTTCTTGGCTGTATCCTCCAGAGACTGGATCACTTTCAGCCTTTGTTTAAAACGCATTTGTTCAATGTCATCTGCCTTCAGACTGCTAAATTTCTACAGGAAAGGAAGCAGACCAGGGTCAGCAACATCTAAAGAAATAATCCCCATTCAATTACATGGTCTTTAACAAGTGTACTGTCCCCCCAGAGATGATCTAAAACTCCTGGCAGCCTTTTACCAGCAGCAAGAAGACGAGAAAAAAAACTTGGGCACTATTCCCTATTCAGCCTGTCCTGCAAAAGAAGTCATTCGGCATTCACGAGAAATCCAACATCAGAGATTTCTAAGCTGAAAAAGCATCTGTGAGGACTGACAGAAATAGGGATCCTATATTGTGGCAGAGATAAGGGAACAGACAGGTTGTCATTCCTTCCAGCCATATGAGATTCAGCTTGAAAAAATCCAAAGTTAAGATGCTTTTCTACTGACTAGGTCAGACAAGTAAGATAAATTTGGTGACACTCTTTTATAAAAGAAACTAAGAACAGAGATGGCAGATTTGAAGAAACAAACAAAATGCTCGGAAAAATACCTGTCTGGCTGTAAGCAGCTGGAAGGGGACAGAATGAAAAATGGGAGATAAAAAGGGAAATGAACCCCCATTTACCACAGTAGCTGAAAAGAACTGTCAGACTCCAGTTCTCCTGCCTGTGTTCTTTTCATCATTCAAGTACAAATTTCTTACGAGTTCTCAGTACAACGAGGCACACCTCCACTAGCACCGAGGGATTTCAACAGCATTGGCACCATTCTCTGGTCACCTCCCTATTAATTATAACGTGGATCACGGAAGAGGATTCCTGTGCACCTGAACTGGGGTGTTTCTACATTTCTGCAGCACACCTCACAATTTTTATCCCGAATTTTCCCTCCCAACTCCCCAGCACTGACAATCCTCAAACACAACTAAGGGATTTTTGGCAAAGCAGAAAGAAAACCCTGGTCTGTAATTTTTACTTATTTGCAGTCTTCATTTTAGTCTTCGCTGGTGTTGATGAGGCTCTTCAAAATGTAGAACAGCCAGCAGTGTCAGGCTCTGCTCACACCAATCTAGCTGATTCACGGCTCGAGCCTTCAACTCCTTGAGCACCTCAAGCTCTGAACACTGTTCAGATTCTGGCTGCACAAAGTCTAAACAGTGGATGTCAGCAGAGAAAAATCTCTTCCACAGCTAAGCCAGAACTTCACCTCATAGGATGTTCTGATGAGTTCAAAGATGTCAATTTCAAGTGGTGGGTCATCTCCACTCGTCAGTAAGGCGTGCAGGTGGGGAATAGGGGGAGAGACGCTCTGTTTGTTAACTACGTTGTCCAAATATCTGAGGGGAAAAAAACAGAACAGATGCAAAACTCCAGGATTAGTGTCCAGGAAAAGAAGTAATATCCTAAATGCATTGTTCCTAACTCCTTTGTATCGTAATTCCAAACCTGTCAGAAAATGAAATTTTTCTCAGCTAACCTGCAATGCCACCCTCAATGGATCTGAAAGTAAAGTTGATTTTCGCCCTATTTTTGGGCCATCTACGCCTTTTAAAGCGAGTTCCTAGTCATATGCTGAAGATCTTGCTCACATACAAAAACCTTGCAGAGCTGGCAGATATCTGCCTGATAAAGTTTTAAGTTTCTAGAAGGCAATTCCTGCCTGGATCTGTTCTTGAGAATAGATCAGAATTCCTCTGTGAATTTTGGATAAACAACCCTTCAGAATTCAAACTCAAACGGAGATGCAGGAATGCGTTATGCTGCACAGCAAACAATTCCATAACTACCAGACTCCTCCACACTTGACCCAGAAATTAATTTCAGCTGTTGTGGAAAGCAAAACTAAACCTCTCTGGAGCTCAAGTTTCATCCTAGAGTGCTACCTGTGAGCTGCCAGGTAACACAGTTAGGTAGAAAGAGACGATCACTAAAAGGGTACTACTATTCAGTTACTATTCAGTTATAAATGAGAACAATGAATGGTACCTGCCCAAAATAGTCATGGCTTCACCTTCATCACAGCACTGTAACAACTTCTCCATGTTGGCATCGAGTATGGCTAATGACACCTGCAAGATAAACTTGATTCCCTCATAGAAAAAACAGTCAACGATGACCACGGCGCTCTCGAAGGGCATGACACTGAGAAAGAGAGTGAGAAACCAGGAAAGGGATATGGTGGAAATCACTCCTAGGTCCTGCATCTTTTCTGACAGCTGCGGAAGATACTCTCGTGTAAGTTCTTCAAAGATGCCTTGGTCTACTAATGCACCTGGGAAAACAAACAAAAACAATGGCAGGACTCATACTGGTGGTATCTATACCCAAGCTAACAAAACAGCATGAGTTCACTTCAATTTCATATAAGCCTCTTAACATCAGGAATAAATTTAACATATTTAGATGTGTTCCCTGTTCTCAGTAAAAAACACGCATTTAGACAGAGATCATTCCTACACACTGCAGAGCATGTGGCAACAGAATCTCTTATTGATCTCTGCATTCCCCCTGACAGGAGGGGTAATACTGTGGTACTTACATCATACAGCACTCTTTTAGAGAGACCAGCTTTAAAAGCCCATGAAGTGGTGCTTTCACCAGCCTTTCCTGGCAGCCTATTCCAAAGATTTAATCCATCATTCAGATGGGTAAAAACATAACCCATTAATTTTCTTCTAGATATGCCTCGTTCCTGCTAATGGTCCCTCCTGCTACAAGTATTTAGTGATTTCATCCTCCTTGTTACTACAAGGTAGCAGTACTACTACCTTGGTAGCCTGTTGTGTTTCTTCCTACGTCTCCATCGCACACCTGCAACTTCAAAAGGAACAGGGTCGTGCTCCACCACCTTCAAAATACATCACATTCAGCTCATTCTGAACAACAAAATGTTCCTGAGAGATGCTGGTGCAACTGCAGCTGAAAATCCCGGCTCCAGCATGAACGTGACCAAGACTCACCCACTACTCTTGTGTTGTAGTAATCTGGCAACATCCGCTCACACAAAGCTACAAGGAGCCAGAAAGCCTCTTCCTCGTTGCAGTACAGCAAGAGCACAGACGTAACGATGTTCATGGCCTACGAGTCGGCAGTCAAATACACAGGCAGAGGAGAAAAACATGAAGATGTTCATGAAAGCTCTGTAGTTATAGACCAGCTAAACTTAAAAAGCATGAATACAACTGCCACTAAGAGTCACATCTATTTCCAGCTTTAACCGGTATCTGAGTCAACAGATAACCCTGAGCCAATTTACCTTCCTGTTTCAATTCCTCTCTTTCTGGTGCAGCAAACAACAAAACTACTTTTTATCAAGCACTTTCATTTATCAGTGTGACTAAGTATACTTTTCAAAGCTTTCATAAAAAGCTTTGGAACAATTTGGTCGTAACAGAACAACATAATGAGAACCTCTAATACCAGAGCAATACACAAAATGAATCTGAATTTCCAAAGATGAGCTTTGCAAACCAAAAACTGGCTTCGTTTTCAATACTGCCCATGTGCATCACCACTTACTCAATTAAATTGCTCTTTTTAATGAAACCAGAAGATCGTTTTGCTGAACTACAGAAAGCTCTAGCAGGACAACTAGCGACAGACTCTGCCATTCCACCTAACAGAAATGTGCAAAGTCTATTTACATGCTGTATCCAAAGGGTAGTTAAGAGATCTTGAAACATAACCACCTCTTCCTCACTCTCACACCACCACATCGACAGCATGAGGGAAAAGCTTGAAACTGAATAAAAAACTTGCAGAAGTCCAAGCGAACCACGATGACCACACAGGAGTATCAAGTCTAAGACTTATTTCTCACCTGACAGTACCCAATTGTTGGATTTCTGAACGCATAAGCTGTTAAGACTCTCCGGAGGGCAGCAATTCCCAGCTCATTCTGGAAGGCAGGATGCTCTGGCATAGAACGGTGCAGATCTCTCTCTATCTCCTCTGTAGCAAGATTGTACTTTCCCATGGACTTTTCCACAAGATCTGCATAGTAACCAGGGTGAGTCACCATCTCATTCCAAGCCCCTGTAACGACAAACAAATACTGCTTCACCTCTCGAGCTTTAGAATACAGATTTTATGCTCACAGTTTCCAAGATGACACAGCCAGGAAGCACTACATGAACTCATCAGCTACAAATAGATATTAAGTACAGCAACAACCTCATTGTTAAATCATCATGTTGGAGTCCAGGTCCCAACACTGAAACGCAGACAAAGGAGGCCAAAGAGCCACTATGCTCATAAAGAGTCTTCTCAGGAATGAGATGATTTCTTTCACTTTTGGCAAAAATGCCATGAAGTAACATTCTGGTGCAGCTAACTTGTGATTAGTTTCTTCTGAAATGAGCTAAGATTTATACCTTTTCCTCTGAGATGTGCAGAAAGCTTATTCCTGCTAGCTGTCCCAGTATCCAGCAGAACAGCCTACCTGAGAAAAGGAGCCACAACTCTCCACGAAGATTCTCTGGAATTCCTTTTTGCACCAGCTCCCTAGTCTTGGAAGTACGATACATGCACATCCCTCGCCCGTATTCAAAGAAATGAATGTTCCAGGACTCTTCCTTCATCTTCTCCTTTGCCTTCACAGGAACAAACATGGCCATTTTAGGAGATCAATGCATTTTTACGTTTGTAAAACAGGCAATTTCTTACTATGCTCAGGCCTACACTTCCCAAGAGAAAGTCTCTCTTCCTCCTGCTGAATAAAGGGGTGTATCCTAATCTACACTGTTCTGAATCAGTTCTGACCTTGCTTCAAGTCTTTACGACGCTAACGTAGGCTGTGCCATGGGATTACATATTGCAAATCTCCATAAAAATGCAAGCAGAACCATGACCTGAGACAATTATCTAGCAAGCAGAGATACCAGTTCTCTGATTTCTTGAAGAAAAGTAGCTCTTCACAGACATGTATTACATCCCAGAAGCACAGGAACACTAATTTCTCAGTCCCTAGCTAAGTATCTCAGTACTGATAAAGTCCACTGATGGTCAGGTGACAGCACTGTCACTGTGACTGACACAGGAGTGATATTGCAGGACTGACCTGGAATAAAATTCATTTTCAGTCTTAGACCAGGACAGGAAATCCATAACCTACTGCAAACTACTTAATTGCTTTAAGTTAAAATTATTCTTTACCCCTTTGGGTCCCAAGAGCTCCTCGGAATTTCTTCTGAAGAGTTTGAGCAGTCCCTGCGAGGCTGTTGGCACTTCCCCGGCACTGAAGTTGACAGGTCGGTTGCCGAGAGCAGACGTGGGGCTCACTGCAAGCGGGATGCTGGAAGGCAACTCTGGAACCTCCTGAACAACAGAACATAAAGCATCTGAGCTCCGGCTGCCTCCCTCCTCTGCTACTTGTCTAACAAACGAACAGCATTCCCTGCTAATGAGCACTATTAATGAGCACGACTCTGAAAAGCTGAAAAATGCTGCTTCTAGCTATTTTCTTAGTACCTCACAACCAGGATCAGCCAAATTCCACTTCCATTCCCTGTCACACGGTTTCTTGGATGGCGTTCTCTGCAAGAAGTCGGAGATTCTCTGTACCAGGAAATCTCGGTCTCTCAGGTTGGCAAAGAAGAAGGTCATTTTGCTTTTAGTGCTGATGGACAGGGGGCTCGGCAAGACACTGGAACTATCTGCTTTCTCAACTATTGTCACCTAGAAGAGAAGGACAAAGGCTGTTTGCGTCTGGCAGATCCTCTGTTATCTATAAAGCACCACATGGAAGACAGAAGCACAGAGAAGACAAGAGAAGCCTGTAGTCTTAATACACAGCTAAGAAATGCCCACCTCTCTGAGAGGAATGATGAGATGACAGGCCTCCTCGGCCTTGCTGGCAAAACAGATGTAATTGTTGGAAACAAACATCTGGCCAGGAATATGCATCTTGTTGAAGGGTGTCCACAAGGTACAGTCTGTATGTCCATCCAGGCATTCATCCTTAGGCAACCGGAAAGTGGCACGGTAGCACTCGTTTTTGGCTCGAGCATCCAGGTCTCTGGGGGAAAGCAAAGAGTAGGCCCCAGAGGTTTTTTCCCTCACTTGAAAAGCCCACTCAAACACTAAAGTGTTCATTCCAGTCACAACCTTCACACTGTGCTGGGTATTCTTAGCATTAATTTCTCTAATGCCACCCCTTATTTGACTCCTGTCAGCCTCCAGACATGCTTCACTGGCAAGGCATGGCCTGCAATCCAAGACAAAACACGCAAGCGCGTCCGTGAAACTTAAATGTTACGTCAGATTCTGAAACTGCAGAGAACAGTCTGCAGCGGGAGGATTTGCTACAATACAAATGTGTATTACGTTGTATAAATCTTCAACTTCAGACAAAAGGGCTGATGTAATTTTCTTCTTTCACATTTTTTAAACGGGATTTTCAACAGTTTCTAGTCGAAAAGACCTTCTGACTGACTAATTATGCATGAGAGACATGAGGGTGTGTGTGAATTCAGGACCAATTTGGGATGGAAAAAAAAAAACCAGGCAGAGGGCTAATGACTGAAATAAGTGATTCAGCCCCTAGAGTGAGAAAACCCCAGTGGCACCTGGGAGCTACACAGTCATGCAGATCTATTATTACATTCCCCTGTCAGCTGTCTTCTCCGTGCTGGAAACACGTACCTTTTTAATGCAGAAATGTTTTTAAGAGGCTTCCTGGGCTTTGGGAGGGACTTGTCCTGTAAGAAGCTCTCATTGTCCAGTAGCTGCCGCATAGCAATGTTCGCCAGCTGCTCCATCAGCTTGAATGTCTCATTGATGTTGAGAAACATAGAAAAATAAAGTTCACTGTCCCTCGTGCTTACTTTAATGCACTCAGGGAACAGCAGTGTAGCATTTTTTTCTAGCTGGGTAACATCCACCCACTGGATCACCAGTGTAACTGGGAAAAAGAAAAACAAAACCTACTATTATAACTCAAGGGAAAAGAACAAATAATCAGAAATGAAGTTCAAGGAGCCAGTAAACTCAGCGTAGCAGCATTTTTCCTCCTACACATAGACAATCCTTTTCTTTGTAATTTTACTGGGTTCTCCAAAAATGCTTGGAAATAATCCTTGGGATTAACTAGACTAGAAATAACGTGGTTCCAAAAGGACTATTTCCCATTCTGAAAATGCTTTCAGCTAAAATTTACTCAAGTTTTCATTCTTTCTTTCCAGCAAATTAGCTCTCGACTCAGGAGTTCAGCTTTGTAAATACTGCGTCCTGGCGGTGGTTCCAAATAAAACTCACCAAGGTAAAAACACTGCTTGGCTCTCTAATCCAGCTGAAGTAAAACTTCAGGTGTGCTTGTACTACTTGAGAAATGTTTTGAAAAATGACTCAGGCCTTCAGTCTAAATATCACTGAAGTGCCTACAAGAACAACGACTGATCTATGCGTTGAGCTAGAGCTCAAAGAATTACTAAAAGGAAAAAAACTGTCAGCTTAAAAAAATGTTCAGACAAAAGCTAAATCGCATCAAAAAGACCTTGGGAAACAGCAGAAAAGCAACTAGCAGCCTTAAAACTCACCCTCTTTGCCCAGCAGGAAGGAGTAGAAACAGAGGTGATTTACAGTGAGGTACAGCCAGCCCTGCCTGGGTACACGCCCCTTCCAATAGCTGCAGGAATAGTAATTAACCAACTTCTCCACCTCGGGCATCCCAAACTGCTTCCGCATCTTCAGTTCAGCCTCTTTGAATTTACCTGGATCCTCTTCGCCCTGGGGCTGCTCATTCTTGTTCTCTTCAGCAATAATTCCCTGAAAGGACACGGGAGGAGAGAGAGAAGAAACATGCCTGTTGACTGACACAACATACAGCAAAAGGTCACAGCGGCAATCCGGAAGAGAGAAAGAACAAACATGACACAGCAGTTATCATTTCTCCTGTCACATCAGAGCCATAGTAAAAACATGTGGAAAGAGCAGTTAGATAGTCTGGGAGTCTCTGATCTGGGACCTACTCCTGAATGCATGCATCAAGCACTCATGGTTAACATCTGACTGAGTTTCTCACAGCTGGCCTTGTGACACTTCCATCACTCTGCAGGAGAACTGAAGTCTATTTTCACTTGCAAACATGCTTCCTGAACACAAGAAAATTATCTGCCAGGAAGGGCAGAACTCAGCAGTCTATCAGATCTTGACTGGCCAGAAGGAAAAACCACCTCTCTTGCACACAGACACACACACACACACACACACAGAAAATACAAACAATCTGACAGCAGTACCTAAAAAGCATTAAAATGCTGCTGTTCAATAAAAAAAGCTGCATTTATAAGCTTCTCCTCTAGAGAGTTTGTGGGCTGGGAGTGTGTTAACTGCACAACTAGCAGAGACACCCGTCTGACTCAGGGGCCAGTGGAAGGTGGGGTGCAGCTCCTTTACACCATCGGGGCACGGTGAGTACACTGTCTGCAAACTAGAATTCTCTCTCCTGTAGCCATCGCCAGATGAACCCTTGTTAAATATTAGCTCTGCATCAAAGGTATAATCAGCAAAGATTTTCAAGAGGTATTATATTTTAATTAGCAGGCTCTTCCCCAAGTACACCAGCTCAGAACCTTCTCTGCTGTTACACCTGCAACACGATGCTGATAACCTGCACAGGTTTACGACAATTCCAAATGTACGTACGTCTGAAGAGGGAGCAGACAGAAGTTCTGCAATGGAGCTCTTGCTCCCTCTGTCCCAAAGCTAAACCACCTCCCCATTCTCTCTCAGGACCTGAAGTCCTTTAGGAAAACAGGTGGCTTACGTGTATCTTGCCCTTGACAAATGTGGTGATATCCTCTTCATTATCAAAGATGGAGAGAGTCTGCAGTAAGTTATTCTCCAGCCATTCCCAATGCTTGGTGATCTCTTTACGAGACGATCCTAATTGCAGGGGTGAAAGATGATGGGAAGAGCAAAGTTAAAAAAGAAATTAGAACAAGGTCTTTCTTCTTCAAGCTCACGGCAGGAACTAACAATTAACTAACAATGACCAGGACAACTCAAACACACAGCTGTGCACGTCAAGGATATTTTATGTTTCCCAACATTATGTTTCTGATGAAATGTCCCCACTGCAAGCAAGGGTCATGAGCACACTACCAGCAGATCATCCCATTTGCCCACGCACACCAAACCCGGCTTTCTTCCCCGACAAAAAGCATTCCTGTGTTCCAGACAAGAAGCATACTTTTAATTTCTGGTATTCCAGATCAAAAATAATGAACTTTCAGAATAACCTTGAAATTTCAGAACTCAAAATTTACAAAGAAGTTCCATTTTCCATTGGCAATGGTGAGCAACCAGAATATTCACGTCAGAAAGTTCTTCCTCACTACTGACAGCTATCGTTACACTTTCTTGTGGACAGAAGAAAAACCACAGAAGAAATATGAAAACTAATAATTTTTTTTTTAACAAGACAAGAAACATTGCTAGGTGCAGACAAAAAGAAACCTATTTACATGCAAGACCAACACGTTCATAAGTTCCTCTTTGCCAAATTCCAGTGAATTTATCTTCAGAAGTTTCACACCAAACCAGCGGGATATCTAAAGACGTCACCAGCACGCCTCCACTACCCATTTTCTCTGCAAGTATGTCAGAGCCCTCGGTGTGGTTAATGACAGAAGAGAAGAAAGCAGGAGACTACACAAGCAGCCCCCTAAAGCTACAGCTCTACCTGACTTTCTTTTTTAAAAGGCGGCTTCAGCAACGAAATAGTCTTCACGTACTTGTCGTCGGACACCTAACCACAAAACCCAACACCAGCTTATCTGTGGTTTCATAAGCAAAAATAACTCCCTGGACCTGAAACAAAAAAAAAACTCGCGGCAAGTAAGTTGTCTTGTCTCAAAGGACTGCAGGGCTATGAATTTGTGCGTACAGCCTAACGGATTAGACAACAAATATTGTTTCTTTTGCCTCTGTGTATAAGTCTACTTGACATTCATCCTAGCCATCTGACAGTGTTTTCAACGCGAAAATGATTTTGAGTAATTCTTATTTTAAGGGCACAGAATTATCAATTGTAGGATGCGTTGGTTGTAAAAAAACCCCACTGATGCAGCAACACCGGCAAGGGAATAAAGTCTGTGCTCTGTTTCGTTTCATGAGCTGCACCCCTCGCCAAGTTACAGCAGACAAATTGCCAAAATCAGCCAGGCCTCAATAACTGACATCTTTTTACGAACAACTTTAGAATGACATACATGAAGGAGTAAAATTCTGCAATTCTGACACAGAGAGCTGTAAGAACTAAGTGCTGAACTGCAGATAAAAGATACATATTTCTTCAACTAGAGAGCCATCAATTTTATAACTTTAAGCCAGTAGTCTTATTTTCACAGTAAAACAAGACTGAGGTATGATTAAAAATATACTTTGAAGACAAAAATATTTGCTCCGGTATAAAAATTTATCAAGCTCCACTCTGTTGCTATATCTCATTTTAGCATGCTGCTTTACTTAAACGTAACTGAGATGCAGAGGATATCTGCTAAAACACTTCTGAAATGGTACAAAAAAGTCACACTCGGCTTGTGTCACGATATTATAAAACTTCAGATTTGCACCGTATGTAGCCACTAAATATTCTGCTTTTTTCTGTGCAGTTTTTGGCCTGCCATTTTGTTTTCTGCCTTTCTTCCTCTCACCTTCGCCCTCCTCAAAAGGGAAACTGAGTTTATGTGAAACACAGCAACTTCTGCAGAATTTAAGTAGCTTTGCAACGGATAATATTGTGCTGGTTGCTTGGGGAGAAGACAGGAACAAGGAAAACAAGACATCAGCATTTGTGGGCTTAGCAAATGATTACTTCATGCTCAGATTTTACATTTCAACCACAAAGTGAGAAGTGAAGATTCTTATTATAAATAAAGTTGATCTAACAGATAGGTCTAAAGATATTTTCTTTATAGCAACCAGCAGGATCTAGAGCCTTAATCAAAACTCACCATCAGATATTAGAAAGTTGTACCATGATATTCTAAAACAACAGTTACTGCTATCAAGTAAAAGAGGCCAAAGATTTTTGATGTTTTTAAAAAAAAATCATTGTAATGTATTTTATGGACATAGTATATTTATACATCTACTATAGGTCAGAAATAGCAGAAATAAATAAATTGGATCAGGACATTGAAGAGTTTCCCCAAAGAGTGTCTCACCCCTCGAAGAACCTCACATGCTCCCATCCTGTTCTGTGTCCCTGGTAAGCAGGTTACAGCACAAACCTCATCATCCCACAGCAATCACCACGGTTTTACTCTCTGAACAATCTCACTAGGACCTTGCAAACAGATACACCTCAGGAGAAAGAAAATTCCTAACAACTGCAGAAACAGAAGCTTTTCCTGAGCCTTAGGTTCCTCAACTACAGTTTAAACAACACTTGAGAAATTTTGTCATTTTTGGCATCTTCCACTACCCCACCAGAAGCTCTAAAAAGTTTCCCAAGCAGTCACAAAATACTGCTATGAGGGATAATTGATCATCTGAACCAAGACGACAGCGGAATAACATAAATCCAGCCCCCGATCAGAGTGACATCAACGCTCACCGCACGCCACCGCCCAATACACTTGGGAGTCCTGAGTCTGGTGCAGAATACGGTACGGGGCAACTCGGGCACTGGAGTCCAAAACCACGTCTAATGTTCCCACGAGAAGACCTAGGAGGCAAAGAGAGAGAAACCGACACAACGTGATACCAAAAACAAGAACTGGGTCAAGTAAGAACACAGGATCAACACTACAGAAAAACGCTGACGTTCACGTGGACGCTCTGACAGAAGAGCAACAGCGCTCGGTGAAGATACTGAAGGCAGACGTCCTGGCACGGCAAGCAAATTGCCTTTAAACCACCTACAGCCAATCCCACTGGTCACCGATAAAGTTCAGATGGCAATTAAACGTCTACTAAAGCTCAGTATAACCCTCTGCCTTCCTACAAGAGTTTTCTAATAAAAGTAAAATGTATTTTCCTTTGTGGCATTTCTGTTGCTGATAGTGATTTTTAAGCCTACGAACCTGTGAGACACAGAAGAGTTTCCAATGTTGTATCTTTCTGCACCACCTAAGCAAACAGTAGGTAAGAGAACTCATCCAAAATGGAATCAAATAGCTCTAGAAAAACTGGTACTCAGTGTTATTTCTAGAAGGTTTCAGTGTTATTTCTAGAAGCACTTTAATGAAACAAAGAAAGAAGGCAGAGAATCAAAATTTGGTAACACAGAAGTTAAAATATTTTTTATGATATTAAATTATATGATAATTTATTATAAAAATTATATTTTTTATTATATTAAATATTTTTTTATAAAAAACCAAGCACTACTCGAATAAATGCTGGCAGCCGCCAGGGTCTGTAAAGTAAATCAACAAGTACCTAACATGATACTTTGTTATTCTAGATAATGTACTATGAACAACTTAAATGCAAATTAATTTTGCAACATCCTCATGATTAGAAGTTTTCTAACATTAGAACTTGGAGAAGGAGCACGGTTGCTCCTCTGGATGGTTCTTTGGGAGATGCAGGAAAGATTCAGGGAGATGCAGGGAGATTCCTTGCGCTCCCCACTATGGTTTGGGTAAGTCTGAGCGATCTGCACTCACCCATCTCCTGTTCATTACCTTGAAACACGTTACTTCTTCCCCTTCACTCTCTTGGCTATCCAAAGCAAGTAATAGATGAGGAATATACAACTGATCATACTTCAACAAAAATGCCACCCATACGCCAGCCCAGCTGCCAAACCTTAAAACAAATATGTATGTATCCACCAGAGCAGGATCTCAGTGCTGGCTCCAGGTTTCTTGGGTAGTTTTAGGCAGAATACGGATTAAAAAGTAATTTTGAATACTTCCTGTAACTACACTGAACATATCAAATAGTGACATAAGGACCGGTAGCAAGACACACTGAAGAACCTGAGTACAACAGCAACTCGCACACCTTTCCAGCGTGGCTGAATATCTACCTTCTAAACTCCAAAACGTCAACTTGCAGTTTCACAGCTCCTTAAGGAGAGCATGCGGCTTTTAACATGTAGGAGCTCTGAGGAAGATTCGCTCACTGAGCCAAACTAGCTCAAGAAGTAAACTGGCTCAAATGTTCAAGCATTTAAGAACAGATCCATTTGTATACGTCCAGCACAGCACTAGGTGTCATTTCTTCTCGTAGAAACCTGGGATATTCCAGAATACAATGACATGCCCACATGCAAAATTACAGAAGTCACGTCATAGAAAGCAAGAATAATGCAAAATAATCTTGAACACTGTGAAAAGATGAAATATGCTAAGGATGTCTATCAGGTGCATCATCTCTGTAGTCTGTATATTTGGTTAACGGGGCTGATAACGCGAAACTGGTTGTGCACCATTCGCAAATGTAAAAAGCCCATTCCTGTTACTCACATAACTGTGTAAGGGTTTTGAATGGGGCGTGCGGTAAGCGAGGGGATGTTTTTGTCGTTGATAACTTTGTGCATTGGTCACAGCTCTGTTATTTTCACCGTTCCTGCCACCAGACACGGCTGTCGGGCACCGGGCTGCCCCCCCGGCCCAAGCCAGCCCAGCTCTCACAGACAACAGCTGCAAACACGTCCTGCTGTCACCCAGCACATCTGCAAAAAACAACATCCCCCCCCAAAAAACCCAACCCAAACCAAACACAGAACC